CTGTTAAGGAACTTAAGTCAACTTAATATAAAAGCCATATCGCTTACTATATACACAAAACAAGGTAACATATGGGTGGTTGTCAAAATTATGGTCCCTTTGTGGATCCCTATTATAGTACGGCACCTAATATTTAGGGTACCCAAAAAGGGACCATAATTTTGACAACCACCCATATGTGTGAGGTGTTTGAGGTCCTTATAGAGCCCGCTGTGAAGGCAGTACCGGAGAAGCTGTGTTTGCAGGGCCTGTTACAGGACAGTATGTACAGGAGCCAGCGAGCCCCCAATCGGAAAAGTCGAATGGGGCGAGCATGAGGGAGCCACTCCTTTTGCAGTCTCACAACGTGATGAATGTATGACTGTCATGGCCCATGCAGTTTTCTCCGCCGAAACCTTGTAAATTCCTATGTGTACCCATTTTACTCTGTATATCCCTTACTGGGATCTCCCAATCTCTGGAAACCTTGAACTACAGCTATACATGTATTCAGACATGTACATATATTTACGTAGTTACACGAATATGTCACCATATGTTTCTAAATATCCATGTATCCCTTGTTGAGATCCCCGATTGTTTTCGAAGCCCTCATCTCTATAAATCTCTGCATAGTCCTATTGGTTTCCCCTACTTTTCAAGGAAATTTTCTGGTGGTATCAGGTGGGTACCCTTCAAGGAGGCCTATATGGACCTCATATAGCCCCATGTGAGCCTTGTCGGGCGCTACCCACCATGGCAACTACTCTAAACCCTAAACCCAAGACCCTAAGCCCTAAGCACTATGCCCTGCCCTGGGTGTCCATGCTATTTATTGGAAACCTGCCCCTGGGGGAAAAATCTGAGGCACAGCTGCACCTACCATCAGAGCCTGGGCGTTATGCGCCAGGCATTGTCTGGCCAGGCCAGGGATTAGGGGTTAGGGTTTGGGGATTAGGGTTTAGGGTTTGGGGATGGTTTGGGGTTTGGGGATGAGGGTAGGGCCTAGGGTATAGGAAGTAGGGTCTGGGATTTAGGAATTGGGGAGTACGACTTAGGTTTGGGGCTTATGAGGTTTGAGGGGTTTCCCTTCTGTCAACTGGCTCTTTGAGCCCTCACTTAAACACTACGGCAAGCCCTAAACCCAAAACACAAGCCCGTAACCCTAAATACCAAACCCTAAAGACTAAACCCTAAGCCCCAAATACTAAACCCTACACCTTAGACACTAAGCCCTAAACCCTCAAGCTCTAAAGCTCCAAACCTAACACCAAACGTTTTCACGTCTTCTGCCAGGCTTTGAGCGCGTCAGAGGACCTCAGAAAGCTTATCAACGCATTGGCTTTGGGTTTAGGGTTTGGGGCGCGGTTCTAAACCCTAAAGCTCATGGGTTCCCTACCACCTCGCTTAATTAGCGTTATCTAGCCCAAACCCTAAATAACCCTAATTAAGGAAGGGGAAACCTCGGTTGGCGGAGGTAGCAGGGGAACCCACGAAAATCCTAAACCTTAAGGGTCCAATTTGGAGTTTTGGGTCTTCAGCATCTAAACGAGGACCTTAATATAATCCTGATTATCCCTCATAGTCACTACTGCAGGGTGATAGGTCCACCTATGGTATGGCAGGGTTAAGTGTTCAGGCTTGTCATTTGCAAAGGTTCCCAGCCTTGATCCCGCAGGCTTATCTGCTGCATGCTTAACCCTGAATCTCCTGAAATCCGCAAACCCTAAGCCCCAAACCGCAGTTATAGTCCCCACGATATGAGTCCCATAATTTTTAGGGGTGGGCAAGGGGGACACAAAATTTTGGGAAGGGGGCTTCTACCTTAAATCCTCTCAAAACCCCAAGAGCCCTATACCTTGAACCCCAAATCCTAATCGCGTGGCAACGCGCTCAGCACCACCTACCCTCCGAACACCCAAGCCTTGAAAGAAGTGTAAGTTGAATACTGGACCCCAGAATCTGGCACCAAACAGGGTTTAGGGTTGAGCATTTCTGCAACTTACTAAAACTAACACTTGACGATAGCAAGGTCCGAATCTTGCGGTTGAGGTTGCCCACATCCGCTTATCACCTAACCCCAAGCAAGTAAGCTTTAATTTCCTTGCTATGTCCCTGGAACGCCCAGTTTCCGTGGCATTTTCCGTGTGATGTTGGATGCGGTGCTCGCTCTCTAAAGGCCCTGGCCGACTCCTACTGAATACCCCAGGTTATATAGGGGGTTATATAGGGGACAATTACAGGGCTTATTAAGGGGGATACTAGGAGTTTAGATTATGGCTCATATGATTTTATAACGGTGATTATACTACTATGCCTCACTTGGAGGTTCAGGGTGAGTAAAACCTGTTATTGTACTTGTACACAAGTAAGTATAAGCCGCCCATGCCCATGATAGTTATCATTGGGTTGTTTGTACCATCCATATATATATATTTACATATTTATGTATGTTAGCAAGAACCTCCCCAAACCTCCTAGAATACCCACCCTGCACCCACCAAAAAAATAGACCTTAGACAAATCGTTGGTCTCGATAACCTGCGTTTCAGGCTTGAGGATTTGGGGTCTAAGGTTTAGGGCTTAAGATTTAATGAGGGGTTAAGGTTCATGGTTTAGGGATTAGGGTCCCTTCACGTTGAAAGGACCTGACGGACTCCCAGAATCTTTGGCCGAGCTCCCAGCGGTTGGAGCTGCTACGCAAAGTGGAGTGGGCCCAAAGCTGGCTTCCGCCCCTGGGCGTTTTAGGGTTTGAGGGTTTGGGTTTTAGGGTTTTAGGGTTTGGGGTTTCAGGGTTTCAGGATTTTGGGTTTAGGGGCTTTGGGTGCAGGGCGGAAGGGTATGGGGTTTCAGGGTTTCAGGCTTTGGGATTGAGGGCTTCGGATTAAGGCCTTCTCGGGTTTAGGGCCTAGGATTCAGGGTTGGATGTAGGGCTAGTTTCTAGGCCCCATGCCCACAATATTGCCCATAAGGGATAAGGCAATGATATGCATATATATATATACACATACATATGCATTCCTACGAGTTTTGGGCGCGGGTTAGGATCTCTGGTTGTAGAGCTTGGGGCGCAGGCAAATCCAGGAGGACGTGCTGGTTACATGACCCGGTACCCCGCCCTTTGAACGCCATCAAGTTCCTTCTTCGGAGCTGGTAAAGTATAGGCTTTAGGGCTTGGGCGGGAATCCCTAAACCAGTATTCGGATGCATTTCACTGGGAAGTGTCAAGAACTTGAGGGCAACGCAAGCTTTGTACCCTGAACCCGAAACCCGAAGCGTCTGACAGCAGATCTAGAGCTTTCAAGTTTGTGCCGTTGTGCTGACCGTAGCCACGCGTACAGCACTGGGTCGCTTTGGCAGCTGCGCAATCAGAAAATCTATTAGCTTTTGCACAGTATCGTCGAACCACCTGCTAAGACTTGCCTTCACTGCACAAACCTCCAAATTTTGAAGCACAAGCACAAAGTCTGAAGTTTGAAGCCCGAAGCCGTGAAGCGCTGAAGAGCGCTGAGGGCCTATCAATCCGGTGTCAAGGGGACAGAGACGATTAGTCAGGAAGATCCTCAAACCCTAAACCCTAAAGTAAACCCCAAGGGGGTCTGTCCTACAGGAACACAGGGTTTAGAGGATTAGAATGGTGTTGACTACTGGGCCCTCCACAATGTCTTCATAAGGTTAGCACAAGTACCACGATTTTTTTGGACTAGGGCAGTTTACGGAACCACCCTGATCCCAGGCTCTAGACTCCTAGGCCTTCACATCCGGAAGCTTTTCCCAGGCCTCACTTGAACCAGAAGCGCCTCCTGGTAACAACCATCCTCCGAGAACCTGCAGAGAGAATTCGGTCATACTACTACTTCGGGACTCTTGGCAAGTCCTGGAAAAGGATGTAGGGATTTCCGGCCCCTTTTCGTGTAGTTGCTACCCTAAACCCTAACCTTAATAAGAGGATCAGAGGGATCCTCGGGGTCTTAGAGGGATACGAGGCAACCTGAGGTTGTTGAATATTAGTTACCCCTGTCCTAAACTCTAAACCCTGAACCCTAAACCAACCCCAAACATCTCAACACTAAACCCTAAACCTTTAAAGCGTGTGATTTAGATGGCAGCTTGAGCCATGCTTGACTGTGGACTTCGGCTTCCATGGGGTGTTTGGCAGTGTTTGGGTTCATATAAGCGTTTTGTGGTTTTGGGTTTTGGGTTTTCGGCTTCCAGAGGGTTTCGGGTTTATGTAGGTTTTGGGGGTTTAAGTGGTTTGTGGTAAATGTCGACATGTTCTTGCTCGGCAGAGTTATGGACGTGTTCCTGACTAAAGTTGGCAGAGCTATGCACATCTGGTTCTTGATGCTGCTTGATTCGAGATGACCCCCCAGACATCATAATGTAATCTTCAGGAACTGCACATGCCCGCCTTTTTCGCAAAACCCGTTCCCGTGTCCGGAGCACATTGTTCTGCTGGACCCATATGTTACGTTGACCAGTTTCCGCTTCCATTTTTGCTTTCTCTTTATGACTGCATGAACTGCAAAGGGACCATCATTCCAACATCCTACCGCCCACCCTTTAAACAAACCTGCCGGGCAGCAAAGGAACCGTGTGGCGAGCCACGAGGGCTTCATGTCCTTCCTGAAGTTCCGAAGAGATTTTGTTGCAGGCAAAAGCCCTATAGACCCTAAAGGCCCTAAAGCCTACCTGAACCCCAAAAGTAGTCATAATTTTAGCCCAAAACATTTAAAGCTTACCCAAAAGGCCATTATCCTACATACATTTGGGGTTCAGGTAGCCCCTAAACCCTAAACCGCGTGTGCCTTCAATACCACCTTACGTGCTTGAGTTGTCATGAGTCATCAGGACCTATGGCTTCAGGTTCAGGGATTGGAAGGCGCTTCTTGCTCAAAAGCAATAACTGTTATGAACAGCCATGCAGTTTGCTACTGCAGCTGAGGAAGCTTCACTCACTGGTTCTTAGTTTAGTAGGGACTAGGGCATATAATCCCTACAAAATCCCTAGAACGTGCGTTCTCTCATTCTCTACTAAGAACCAGTAAGTTCAGGTCGACCTTCCCTGTTGTGGGTCTGGCCCTTGTCAAGGTAGACCCCTTTCCTCGACTTTCAGATGGGGGCGAAGGGTCGGTCATGGGCCCATGCCCATCCCTTCCGCTAATCAAAACCACTCACCCGCCCTAATGTTTAATATGCCCGATATGCTGTATGCCTCGTCGGAATGGAATATTTCAGATTGAGGCGTGAGGGCTTAATGTCAGGAGGAGGGCCCCCATAGCATGAAATGTTCCCAACACATTGTAGAGTTTGCCAGAGCGGGAATATTTAGCATTAATGACGCGGTAAGTCCAGAGGTCGGGACTGCCCTCAAGACCAAGCCAAGAGGAGCTGAGAAAAAATCTTGCGGGTGCCCTGCACCTTGCGCTTGGACACTAGAAGTCATCGTGACTTTGGCAACTTGCCATGCCGTAGATTCTGGAAGGGTGCTCTGTTATGACAAACTCGATCTGGGCTATAGTCTAAACTCGTCGCATCCCCCCTTAATAACCCTTATAGTAGTCCCCTATATAAACAGACCCCTATATAAAATCCCCTTGAGGGAGTTAAGATTATGGCTCATTTGGGGGTGCGCAGGCAACTGGACACAGGAGCAGTTCGACAAGCAGGCATCCATGAGAAATAGAGGCTTGGACTTCCGGTTTGGCTTTTGATCACATGTGCTTTCTTGGGAAGGTCTGCAGAAATCCTGATAAAGAATTGCGCAAGCCAATGTAGGGTAGCTGAAATTAGGCCTGCGCCTGGGTTCTTGGCGGATGCCTTAGCTGCCACCTTCCTCGGTCCTTGGACTCCGTGATGTGATCCTCACTTGAGTAGTATTTTATTTGGGGATATTATGGTACCCAATATGGAGTAAGATTATATTCTCCTTTTGGGGGATAGTATTTTATATATGTTATCTTACTAGGTTTAACCACCCAAAAAAACACTATTCACTTTACGAAGGGCTCTGTTTCAGGGGGTCCTTTGCACAAGGATGCTGCCATCCCAAGTTCTAGTGGCATTCGCAGGGGACTCTGGGTAGACTCTTGGGATATTTAACATTTTCCCTAATGGCTTTAATAAGGGACCCTATATACTAATATTATTCAAAGGGTTTTGGGGCCAACCCAGGACTCAGATTTCTCGAAATATCTCAACTTGGTATCTTTTCAAAGCCCTTGTCCTGAACCAGTACCCCTTCTCTCCGTGATCATACCCATGCATAGTTTTGGATTTAATTTGTGGCGCCGTGAATGACTGTTGCAACTCTGACGGACACTTAAATGCGGTGATAGGGTTGAGGGTTTAGGGTTGAGGGTTTAGTGGCCGTACTTGTCGAACCCTTTTCCAATGAGCAGTAGCGTCCTGACACCTCAGAAAAACCAAGGTAAGCCAACAAGAATGAAACCCCTTTGCTCCCTAATCACCAACCAAAGGTAAGTTAGCAATGAGGGCCCATAATCCTCTTGTAATCTTTCTCATTTCTAGGGCCTCTACACTAGAGGCTCCACATGTCCGCCGCTTGGAGGGTACAGGGTGCTGAGTAAGTAGGCTAATCATGGGCATAATTCAGGATGATCATAATGGTTATAGGGGTCTTTAGTTAAGATACTCGCTACAACCCTAAACCCTAAGCACTGAACTAGACAAAAAACATCAATTCCCTTTCTGGCGGTGCCTGGAGAGGCTCGACGTCGATGTCCATCTTATTGAGATCCTGCTGCGAGTATGCGACTTGCACTTACTTAGGGGCAATATTTTAGGGTTTAGGGCGTATGGCCTTGAGCTCCAGCCTTGAACCCAAGATCCTATCAACGCTAAATCCCTCTTTCGGGTCCCGCAGATTGATTTTCAGGGTCACTGCTCAAGGCTCGAAGATGGTGTAAAAAGGTCTTAGGAAACTTGAGGAACTGACCTTAGGGTTTAGGGTTTAGGGTTTAAGGTTTAGGGTTTAGGGTTTAGGGTTGAGGAATTGACCGTGGCCATGCTATCCCTACCAGGTCTTCTCAATTCCGTGCTATCCCCATCTCCTGCCTTCTAATGTAGACCCATGATTACTAAGCCCCCTTCTTTTGACGGCCTTAATATTAGGATCCCTTTTAAATACCCCATTATACTCTATAGTAGTTTCCATTTTCTTTTCAATTACCCCTATATTCCCAACTATAATCCCTATAAAGGGAAGGGGGTTTATTAATCAGGGCCCTACATTAGGTAATTACTGCCCCCACTCAGTAACAGTTGGATAATAATTCTAATATGGTTATATAGAGCCCTTAATAGGACCCCTAATATAGACTGTCACTGGGTGGGGACAGTACCCAGGGTCTACATTAGTAGTAGTGAGTATCAAGACAGAGCTAGTTTGGAGTTGCAAACCTTATCGCCTTGGGTGACCCCGGATTAAGACCCTGATTAGGGTTTAGGGTTTAG